TGACCATAAAAAGTTAAAGATCATGCTTGATCAAAGACAAACACTGGAAGGACCAAATACTCAACTGTGTCTGTGTCTGCATGATTCTCTGGTCTTCTTGATACCTAATAGCACTTGTGTGAAATACAAGTGGACCTGCTGTTCAAAGGCTTGAAAAGTGGTGGGGAGTTTAAACCTCTGTGGATCTTTCACTCTAATGAGTGTGCTTTCAAATTAAATGAATCCCATTAAACGGTGGCTTTGGGCATATGCCACATTACTGTAATAGTTTTCAAACATGGTGTGGCTGTACTGAGGACTTTCAGACATTAAACTGAGAGTTTTGAGACACTTTTGTCAGACTGATTAAATTAGATGGACTTTTTCCTTCAGTGATTTGTACAAGACTACGGTGTTGCTCTTTAGAATATGCATTCATTTGTCGAATCTGCAACTATGGATCACTCCCACTAAATGGAGTCCAAACTGATTAAAATGAAAGCTTGGGAGGGATGCCAAATAGCTAATGGAAAAAGGACTGGAAAAAAAAAGAACTGTGACAATCTTATGTTGGGGGAACAAATTTATGATGTGGATTGTCATAAATTATTACAAAACTGGAACTAGAGTCACAGTCTTACAGTATGGGGGCTGATAGTGACGGCAACATTGCACTGTAGTGTGGTGTGTGACTGTGTCTTTGCTTGGTTTCATTGTGTTTTTTTTTTTTATTTATTGATTCCCAAGTATCTCTGCATGGTTATAAAGATACAGAGAATCAGTGTTGTAACTGGAGCAGTATCAATACAGCGCTCCTCTGAGGCTCAGGTATATGTTATGCATCAGTGGCACTGAAAAGTACACAATAACCACTAACAGTGAAGAGGCTGTTCAGCATGTAACTGTGAACCTGCACTACAGAGAATACCAAGAAAACAGCGAACACTATCAACGATTCAAAGAATAATTACATCTAAAGTGTAATACTGACTGCCACCTTAGCCCTTCAGAAGCAGCAGTATGGTAAGAGATGTATTTACATGAATATTACTTCTCTTGAGGTTTGCTTGCTTAGATTTGCTCCTCTTTGATGGCACTAACAGAACTATGTCAGGTCTATCCACTCAGTATGATGTATTGCTTTACAGGGGGACACACATTAACAGCTGATTAAGTAACGAGTAAATAATGAATCATTATTAGTTTTAAACCACTCAATGGCAGATTCAATGTTAATCAGTGGCCGGCATGTCAGTTCACAGATATTCATGAACAAATCATTATCTAATGATTCGTTGATATAGTATAGCCCAGTCTGTTTTCTATTGACTCATCATTATCTGATTCAAAGTTATTCAGGAAGTACTTACTAATGATTCATTAATTATCAGGTCATTCGTGATTGGCTCCTTTACAGTCTCAGAGCCCATCAGTTATCATCTGATGACGATAAAGCCTCTGGGGATGAAGGCCAATATTTTGGGATGATCTGGTGTAGCCAGCAGATATCAGGCCAGGACTTCCTCCTCTGAGCACCAGTCATTTCAGCTAATCTCTATAAACTGATGCCTTTCAATGAATGCAGATAAATAAAATATAAAACCAACATAAAGCTCACTTGTCGTCAGATAATAACTGGGTTCCAAGACTGTTTTTGACCCAATGCATTCCGCTTCTTCACATGGACCGTTTACCTTTCATTCAGACGAGATTGGTCAATTCTACTCGGGCTACAAACAGAAACCAGAATGCTTCTGGTGCCAAAATCTTGTATCTAAAGATTCTGTATATACATACCAAGACACTTGTTTATAGAACTTAGTTCCTAAGTAACTACTCACAGTTTTGTTTATTTATTTATTTACAGGACTGCTAATTCAGCGGTGTCAGACACAGGGGCCAGAAAGGGTCCAATCTGGCCCACTGGATGACTTTGCACACCTCATATTGATGCACCTGTGATACCTGTGATAGATCATGTAAGATGCTGCCTCAGAGGCTTTTCCATCTAGAAAACAGTTCTCTGAAGTAAGAATGAATACATACTGTGGTCAGATTTAAAGATATTGAACACTGTGCAAAATATTGTCAACCAGCAGCTTCAGAAGAAGAAAAGAATCTGGATCAGACTTCTATCTTAAAACAATATGGGAGGAACCCTGCTGCTGAGGCGCTGATGAAACTTCAGAGTGTAAATGGTTTATAAGGCAGGGGATGACTTATGCTGCTTCTTCAATAGGTTGCACTATAGTGGAAAACTATGAAAAAACACACATGTAATGAAAGTGAGTAGCAGACTGAATGAATGTGGAAAAACTGAGACATACTGTTGAATTTGCACATATTTTTCTCGGGATATCGCAGACTGCTCATTTTGTTTTTTGAATATTTACACTAAAAAAGGGAGAAAAATCTGAAGAGGTAGTTATTTATAGATTATTATATAATGGTTTGACTGGTCCGGCCCACTGGTGATCAAACTAAGCTGTGTGTGGAGCGTGCCCTAAAATGGTTGGTCAAACAGTTGGTCAGAGAAGATAAGAAATTTGAAGATGTCACCTTCATCTTAATGAACTTGTGATGGCCATTTTCTAACATTTTTTAAAGCAAATAATCCAGAATCTAATCTTCAAATGAGTCGATGATGGTGCCCTACTACTGTGTCTGCAGTTGTTACGAAAGCTTAGAGCCACTCGTACCACCTGCAACCATAATGCACAATGCCAATTCAAACACATGTACAGAAAACCAAACAAATACAATACAAAAATGTGCTTCAAATGAAAAAAAAAAAAGACAAAAAAGAAACAGGAACAGATTTACTTTTAACTTGAGAGAGAGAGACACTAGAGAGGAGAGTGAGTTTGTTTTTGGAATGAAGGTGGAGTACAGAGGTGACATAAAAAGGTACTTATGGAGAACACCCGTTGTTCATTCATTCATTTCTTTAACCACTTACACTCTTGAGGGTTGCAGGAGGGCCGGAGCCTATCCCAGCTGACATTGGGCGAGAGGCAGGGTACATCCTGGACAGGTCGCCAGACTATCACAGGGCTGACACATAGAGACAGACAACCATTCACACTCACATTCACACCTACGGCCAATTTAGAGTCACCAATTAACCTGCATGTCTTTGGACTGTGGGAGGAAGCCGGAGTACCTGGAGAAAAACCTACGCTGACACAGGGAGAACATGCAAACTCCGCACAGAAGGGCTCTCTCCTGGGTTCGAACAGGAACCCTCTTGCTGTGAGGCGACAGTGCTAACTCGAACTCCCATTGTGTTGACTAAATATGAAATGTTTTTCTGTTATTTGTTTTTTGGAATTAGTGTGTTTTTGACTTTGCATCATTTCTGTTTTTGTAGCATGTTTGCTACTGTATTTGTTCAGGTTTTCTGCAGCACATTTTTTTATTTGCAGCTTGTTTGCTATTAATGTATTAGCTGAGGCTTTCTGCAGCATATGTTCCATTTGCACTACGTTTCCGCTGTATTTGTTTTGGCTTCTGTGTATATGTTTTTGTCTTAGCACAGTGTCTGAACCTGCAGCACACTGCAGGCTACTGTTGCATGTTTGCCTTTGTTGGCCAACGTACCTCTGCATATCAAAAGCACTACTTCTGCTAACATTTTACTCACTTTTATTTTGAATTCTTGAATGACTTGTGTATTTTTTACATTGTGATATTGCTGTTGGTACTCATGTGAATGATTTGATTACCTTTCCCACTACATGGGACACCTCATCAGCGCTTTGGCAAACATTTGAACTGGTTTCTGGTGGGAGAATGGCAAAGATCCCAGTACATGCTGACTGACTAGACTGCCTCAGAAATGTTGGAGACACAAACCTACAAGTTTTCTGTAGTGGCAGTAAACTGGCATAACCCTAATGTTTGAAGAGCGAGGCTCCTGGGCAACTTCCCCTGCCTGTCTGACAGCTGTCTAACCATATAAGAGACATCCCAGCTCCCTCTCTGTTACTCCTCCATCTGTCTCCTGCCTTCTGATGAGATGTTATTATAAATCACCATGACATGACTCTGTTTAGGTAGGCTACATTAACTCATTTAAGCTATGATACTGGATGCCATGGTATCTACAATCAAGCTACACAAACATTACCACCTGTCAGCTTGAATAATGTGCTCAATGGTCCATTTGTCCTTACTGGCTCCCCCTTTCTTTACCTCCATCTCACCAGCTGACCCAGGATCTGGTAATGGATCACACATCAACAGGGGATCATGCCATTTTCTCCTTCAAACCTCATGACCACAGGCTGCCCTCCCCCTGCTGCCTGGATTGGCTAATAACGCACATGTATGGAAGTAGACGCTCGCGGTGTAAGGATGGCGTCAAGGTCATTTGAGGGTAACTGAGAAAACAACCCGCTGTCTAAGCAGCATCTAAGTGCCATCTGAAAACACAGCAAAGTGTCCCGTTGCTGTGGTTCCTCACACACACGCGGCTTCAGGACGAGAAGATGACATTGTTTAGATTGTATCAATAATCTGCTGCAAGCTCACATCAGTGTGGCCAGGACACATTTCCGTATGCTTGAGGAACATTAAATATAACTGGGATTTCTCAGTGCATCGCAATGTGCTCCGCTCCCCGGCATTACTGCACGTGTTAGCACCTCGGAATAACAATATCAACAATCCTGCGCAAACAGCATCACTCTGCAGGACAAGAGACCCGGTGCAACTTAGCATCATGGGAGAACAATCACTGAGTCCACTTTAACATAAAATGTGCAAACTAATAATTTTAAAACACTGCAGCAAACTGGAACATGCATGGGAAAATACAACTGTGGCAAAGAAAACAGGTGACATTTCTGTCATCGAATAGTTCCTGAACTATGGCACAGGTCATAGTTACAGCTGCAAATGATGAATTTCCAATTCAAATTGAGAGCTGGAGTTGTTGGAGGTTGTGTGCAGGCTGCTCGGTGCCATCCCACGGTGTCAAAGCAACGCGCCGTGCATTAGACATTTAAAGGGCACTTTACCTGGTAGCTCAGTATGATCTCGGGGTCGTTGACGGGCATGCTCGTGGCCTTTGGGTTACCCTGCTCAGTGTTCACGGAGTGCACAGGTGAGACTTTCTCAGGGGGCCGATCAGCCTCTCAGCGCTGTCTCAGGACGTTTTGAAGAAGCAGTCACGAGTTGGTCACAGCAGCAGCTGCTTGTGTTTCCGCAGACATAGTGAGAGTAAACATCTCTCCTCCAGATGAGGTAAATGGTGAAAAGAATGAATTTTGTCCCCCCTGTGTTGTGATGATTTTCCCCGGCCGCGCTTCCAGCTCCCCTCCCTCCTGTCCTGGCTGTGGGAGCAGGATGCGGAGAGCATCACTGCAGCTTCAGCCAATCAGAGCGCAGAGGCACACAACGGGCTGCGACGCACTGCTGCTGCCAACACAATAAAGCCAAGACTATTATAAGCCTATAGAGCTACGTCACTCTATATAATGTCCACTTTGGCAGCTTCTCACATTTCAGCTGCTGAGATGTGCTGCATAGTGATTGCTTTCTTTTCACTTTTAGTGTTGTACTCTGCATCCACACAAACATCGCAATCATTAGAACCACTGAATATATGTTGACAAAACTTTATGTTTATCTTCTTTACTTGTTTATTTTCTTTGGTGGAATAAGAAGACCCTTTACATATCATTACAAGTAATAGTTCTCCTACATTCAAACATTTACAAGTAAAAGTAGAGGAATATTAGCAGCAAGATATACTTCAACTTTATATTAAATAATAATGTAAACAATTCAGAAATATGTTATTTTATATTTCATTATACAGTATATTGTAGTTATTTTCCACCATTGAATAAAGGTCTGTGTCAACATCAGTGTTGATAGATTATATCACCAATTTACCCTGTAAATTATCTAAAAGACATGACGTGTAGTCCTCAGTGGGAGCCCAAACGTCAGCAGTGAGCACATAAAATGAAAGAAAACATTATTGAGCTTGCAACAGAGCACACTGGAAGGCTTTGGATGCCACCTTGTGGGAGGCTAACGCATTGTGCAAAGTCGGATATTAATGCTGTATGTTTGCTATAATCCATGCACATGACATGAAGCTTATATGCACACGTCCGACAAAGTGATGACAATACCTGCAGGCTTATTATTGAAAATGCAGGGCCGATTGTCCTGTAGTGAAAAGGAAGCAAAGAATATGAAACTGAGCACCTCCACATGCATTGACCTCAGGATGAACTCTGTCGATCAAAACAAATATGACACTGTCCTCCTGCCACATTGTCAAACACTTGATTGGATTTATCTCAGCAGGCGGCACCTCACACAGTGTCTCTGTGAGATTGCAGTCAGATATGTCCACGCAAATGTCTCGTTGTGTCGCGGCTGCAGGTTTAATTGCCCTCGTGCATGTCGCCTACACGTGTAAGCCACACTGCAACTGATAGCGTCAGATAAGTGATCCACTTTATTTAACGCATGGCTAAAGGTGGCAGGATTTTTCATCGACCCGCACGGGCGTCCTGTTTCTCCTCGGAGCGGTTGTTATGGCAACTATAAACATTCTGCGGGAGCATGCACGGTTGTTATGGGAACGGTCTGCGGGAGCATGAAGGAAGCAGGACTGAGCGAGTGTGTATGGTCAGAGTGGTCGGGTCAATGCGGAGGTGACAAGATTAGGTTTGTATATTAATATTCAAACATGTGAACATTTCTGCTGGTGTGATGTGTTCTAGGAGCAGTTTGTTTAACCGTTGTCATAGATATCATACAATGAGCTAGTCCGTAAATCTACGGTCGTTCATTGTACATATAGCCTATACTGTAGATGTTTTTCCAGGATATATGTTTTTTTTCTTAATTGTGCATGTACTTCATGTCTGCCCCTGTGCGCCAGCGCGCCTTTTTGCGCATGGGTATGTCAGTGAGAAGCTGACAGTCAGCTCTGTCCAGATTTAGATGCCTGCTTGACCCAATTTACATCCTTCTTCAGAAGCTTTGAGATGCCACGTGTCATATAGTATATATGATGTTTTCTCTGTTTATTCCTCAACTACAGAGGAGACTGTTACTATCCATCTATCTATCTATCTATCTATCTGAATATCATGATGTGAAAATAATGCCTTTGAATATATTTCTGCTCCCAGAGAACTGAACACTGAATGTTGATCAGCTGAAGAGAAGACTAGGCTATATAAAAGTAACATGCAACAAATTCCAGGTAAGACACCTGAATATATAAATACATACACATTGACACATTTACTTTATACTGAAATCTGCAATGTGTCTTGGCATTGCAATCCACAGTGGCTCCAGTGGAGGGAAGGTTACGTCGCAGTGTGCCAAGCCTGACAGCAATCAAGCCAGACAGGCTAAAAACAGCTAAAACGCTGGTGGAGAAAGCAGTGAAGGTGAATGTATGCACAAGTCAGACGTCACTGGAACACCTCTGCATTATCGCCCACTATCCTCCTTACATGCTCGGTGTCCTCTTTGACTCTTTTTATTTCTCTTTCACTCCTTCTCAGCTGAGGAAAGTGTTTTCAGTGCAGGGACCCTACCCTGTGATCCGTGCTGCCTTGTGGGCCAGAGGGTGGGTGGAACGTCGTTTGCCCCTTCCTGCCCAGAGACCACCTCATTGCCATGGCAATGAGGAGGAGGATGGCGATGATGGTGATGTCAGTGCTGATGTTACTGGTGAGAAAATGAAGGATACAATGAAGTCTTTGAGCTACCAAAGACAAACATCTATTTTGAGAAAAGGAGATGCAGTGTCGATGCCAATAACACTAGTCTCAGTCTGTGGGAGGAGAAACCGCTGTATATAAGTGACTGTGACACTGGGATCGGATGTGTATTATAGGACCTTGCACACAGTATTACTAACAAAGCACCATCAATCAGTCATATTTTGTCTGTCTTCATAAATTGAATGTTAAAAGAGAGATCAGTGATATGCTCCCTTTACTCACAGTTTAAAGGAGGGGCCAGCCTATATGTAATTGGAGCACTAGTTTAGATGGATGCATGGATACCCCTACACCTGATAAATGATACACTGTATACCACATTACAGACACCAACCTACACCAAAGACCCCTACCCTCTTAACACACCCCTGTACACATATAAGCCTGCATGCGCACACACACACACACAAACACATGCACACTCTTTACTTATCTCTTTACAGTGGGAGCAGATGAAGGCGAGAAAGAGGAGAACCTTGATGACATGTATGACCTCATGGTAAGACAACGTTCAAGTTGACCAACACGACACTGATGTCCTGCAGTCTGAAAGCAATCAGATGTGCTATTCTTGTTATAATTGCATTATTTAAATATGTATAGGATTTAGGGGGGTATGTTGGCAAAAATGGAATATAATATAACAGATATGTTTTCTTTAATGTATAATCACCTGAAAAGAAGAGTAATGTTTTGTTACATTGGACTGAGCCGTTTATATCTACACTGAACAAAAATATAAACGCAACACTTTTGTTTTTGCTCCCATTTTTCATGAGCTGAACTCAAAGATCTAAAACATTTTCTATACACACAAAAGACCATTTCCATCAAATATTGTTCATTAATCTGTCTAAATCTGTGTTAGTGAGCACTTCTCCTTTGCCGAGATAATCCATCCCACCTCACAGGTGTGGCATATCAAGATGCTGATTAGACAGCATGAATATTGCACAGGTGTGCCTTAGGCTGGCCACAATAAAAGGCCACTCTAAAATGTTAAGTTTTATCACACAGCACAATGCCACAGATGTCGCAAGTTTTGAGGGAGCGTGCAATTGGCATGCTGACTGCAGGAATGTCCACCAGAGCTGTTGCCCGTGAATTGAATGTTCATTTCTCTACCATAAGCCGTCTCCAAAGGCGTTTCAGACAATTTGGCAGTACATCCAACCGGCCTCACAACCGCAGACCATGTGTAACCACACCAGCCCAGGACCTCCACATCCAGCATGTTCACCTCCAAGATCATCTGAGACCAGCCACCCGGACAGCTGCTGCAACAATCGGTTTGCAGCAGCTGTCCGGATGGCTGGTCTCAGACGATCAGCCACCCGGACAGCTGCTGCAACAATCGGTTTGCATAACCAAAGAATTTCTGCACAAACTGTCAGAAACCGTCTCAGGGAAGCTCATCTGCATGCTCGTCGTCCTCATCGGGGTCTCAACCTGACTGCAGTTCGTCGTCGTAACCGACTTGAGTGGGCAAATGCTCACATTCGATGGCGTCTGGCACGTTGGAGAGGTGTTCTCTTCACGGATGAATCCCGGTTTTCACTGTTCAGGGCAGATGGCAGACAGCGTGTGTGGGTGAGTGGTTTGCTGATGTCAACGTTGTGGATCGAGTGGCCCATGGTGGCGGTGGGGTTATGGTATGAGCAGGCATATGTTATGGACAACGAACACAGGTGCATTTTATTGATGGCATTTTGACTGCACAGAGATACCGTGACGAGATCCTGAGGCCCACTGTTGTGCCATTCATCCACGACCATCACCTCATGTTGCAGCATGATAATGCACGGCCCCATGTTGCAAGGGTCTGTACACAATTCCTAGAAGCTGAAAACATGCCAGTTCTTGCATGGCCAGCATACTCACTGGACATGTCACCCATTGAGCATGTTTGGGATGCTCTGGATCGGCGTATACGACAGCATGTTTCAGTTCCTGCCAATATCCAGCAACTTCGCACAGCCATTGAAGAGGAATGGACCAACATTCCACAGGCCACAATCAACAACCTGATCAGCTCTATGCGAAGGAGATGTGTTGCACTGCGTGAGGCAAATGGTGGTCACACCAGATACTGACTGGTTTTCTGACCCCCCCAGTAAAGCAAAACTGCACATTTCAGAGTGGCCTTTTATTGTGACCAGCCTAAGGCACACCTGTGCAATATTCATGCTGTCTAATCAGCATCTTGATATGCCACACCTGTGAGGTGGGATGGATTATCTCGGCAAAGGAGAAGTGCTCACTAACACAGATTTAGACAGATTTGTGAATAATATTTGAGGGAAATGGTCTTTTGTGTATATAGAAAATGTTTTAGATCTTTGAGTTCAGCTCATGAAAAATGGGAGCAAAAACAAAAGTGTTGCGTTTATATTTTTGTTCACTGTACATAGGGAATGGTCCTCGTCTATGGAGATTGCTACATAACTCTTTATTCATTGTTTTTATTGGTTTAAATCATCATTTGTTTTAGAGAGGAAGATACCTTTGCAGATAATTAGGCTCCCAGTAAAAACTTTTTATAAGTCTGGATCCTAAAGGAAAGCAAAAGGTGAGCACA